TAAAGATATTTACATTGCAATAATAATTTAAACGATTACCGTTTTACAGTATTTTTACTATTGATCAAGTAAATGCAGCCTTGGTGAGCATAAGTAACCTATATTTTAAAAACATTTAAAAAAATCTTACAGACCCTAAACTTTTAATATCTAAACGGTACTGAATGGTACTGTATAATTTTATCAATTTAAAAACATTAGCATAAAATTACCATTAATATAGATTACTGAATTAATCTATATTAATGGTAATTGATTTATTAATCTGAATTAATAAATTAACCATTCCTTATAGCTTCAAATTAATCAATGACAATTTAACAATAGCCTAAATTCATCTGAAGACCCATGATTCCTCTCATCTGATCCCAGAGCTCCGCCCCTAACCGATCACACTGCTGAACAATACTTGACACTTCAAATCTCCTAAAAGATGCAAGAAATGGAGGGAAAGACAACAAAGAGGAAAACGTGGTTGAAACGGAGCAAGAGGGAGAAGGGGACAAGAAGCCACTCTGCAGGGTAACCCCATCACGGTGGCCTGAGATGGGCTGGGCTTCTAATCGTCTCACTCTGACCAAACCCACCGAAGAACTCTGTCACCCCGCCGCACCCCACCACTGCCCAATGGTAATGCGGCTTTCTGAAGCCCCCGGCGTCTCAGTCTGTGGCCCCTTAATCCACTGTGACATGGGGAAAAAAGCGCTGCGGCAACAGCGTTACCATAGAGATGGGTGGCATTGGCACGGAGCCACACAGGAGCATGCCATGGGCAGAACATGTGCCAGAGGCGGCAAATGAAATTAGGAACTGGAGCTTTAGATAGACATCCTACCAAAACTGTGACAACAACACATGCAATAAATGCACCAAAAATAACCCCCACACCAAGAACATCACAAAATGCAAAAGTACAGGTGAAAATAAGCACAAAGAGTAAGAGGAGGTGTTTCTATTTCCTGCAGATGATGTCCACATCATCACAGCTCTTGTCTCCAAAGGAACGCAGGGGTTTTTTACCAAGGCGCACACTAGGTCTGCCCGATATATCGAAAATATCGCAAATGTAAATATCGCGATACGCATATCGCAAGGACGTGCGTTATCTGAATCATTTTAATAATAGGCTACTAAATTCAAAACATTGCAAAAGGTCAAAGTTTTAGTTTGACGCATATAGCAGAGAATTGCTTGACGTAGGGCTGGACAATAATTCAATATCAATATGTATCGCAATATAATTTTTTTCAATAACGGTGATATGATTTTTAAACACATTTCCGATATTTCGATATACATTACCAGTTTCCCATACATTGATTTATTTGTGCCGTTTGACTTAGTTGAATAAACATGAGCACTTTTCATTCTTTTTTTTCTGGCTGAAGCACATTTGTTTCAATCTATAAGAATAATCAGCCTACACTACCAGTCAAAAGTTTTTGAACAGTAAGATTTTTACGTTTTTTTTTTTTTAATTTTTAAGTTTTTTTAAAGAATTCTCTTTTGCTCACCAAGCCTGCATTTATTTGATCCAAAGTACAGCAAAAACAGTAAAATGTTGAAATATTTTCACTATTTAAAATTGCTTTCTATTTGAATAGTGTATCAAATACTTATTTGCCCCACTGTACATTACCAGTTTCCCATACATTGATTTATTTGTGCCGTTTGACTTCGTTGAATAAACATGAGCACTTTTCATTCTTTTTTTTCCTGGCTGAAGCACATTTGTTTCAATCTTTCAAAGTTTTTTTTTTTTTAATTTTTAATTTTTTTTAAAGAATTCTCTTTTGCTCACCAAGCCTGCATTTATTTGATCCAAAGTACAGCAAAAACAGTAAAATGTTGATATTTATCTGAAATAAAAAGCTTTTGTAACATTACACTCTATACCATTCAGTATAATTTTTATACATTTTCTGGGAAAGAAATTAATACTTTTATTTAGCAAGGATGCTTAAAATTGATCAAAAGTGATGATAAAGGCATTTATAATGTTACAAAAGATTTCTACTTCAAATAAATAGTGTTCATATCGATATCGGAATTATATCGTATCGACCGAAATTAAGAAATATATCGTGATATAAATTTTGGCCATATCGTCCAGCCCTAGCTTGACATTAAAAAGTTAAGTGCAATAAGTTGCAGAAAACAACTCTTTGTCGTTTTGTCTTGCTGTCTGACAGACTCACACCTGAAGCGCGCGCACAAGCCGCATCTCGCACAGCGTATCTTCAGTTCTGCCGCACACAAAGTGTGCGCACACACAGAGACGCGTTTCAGATGGCGCTCGAACACCGAGTTGATTCGTCTTTTGCATCTCCTCCTCATGTTTGACAGAATTATGTCAATAGTACCCGTCTCAACGAACATTCTCGTAAACACAGTCAGTTATGTTTTAAATAAGAAATATATCGTGATATAAATTTTGGCCATATCGTCCAGCCCTAGCTTGACGTTAAAAAGTTAAGTGCAATAAGTTGCAGAAAACAACTCTTTGTCGTTTCGTCTTGCTGTCTGACAGACTCACACCTGAAGCGCGCGCACAAACCGCATCTCGCACAGCGTATCTTCAGTTCTGCCGCACACAAAGTGTGCGCACACACAAAGACGCGTTTCAGATGGCGCTCGAACACCGAGTTGATTCGTCTTTTGCATCTCCTCCTCATGTTTGACAGAATTATGTCAATAGTACCCGTCTCAACGAACATTCTCGTAAACACAGTCAGTTATGTTTTAAATGAATGTAAACAGCTGAGAAAGAAATCGGATGTGTATCATTATACTGGATCCGTGCAGTCGGATTTAAAGGGACAGCAGCCTATAAATACGTGCTGCTGAATGTCACTAATGTTAATCAAACAACAAAACAGCTATAACAAAGATTAATCTAAATTTAATTCATACAATGAACACAATGCAGTGTTATTTTACACTTAATTATTACATTTCTGTAGGCTACCTGAATACTATTTATTTGATCTATGCTTGTAAATTGTGTATTTGTTCTTTTTCCCCCCTTTTTCTTTCTTTTTTTTTTTACTGACTGTTCACTTGCCTTAATCATGTTTGAACTTTCTCAGACTATATTTTTTGCTGTGGTATATGAAGAAGTACTTAAAGTGTATGGAAAGCAAAGTCACAATGATATGAATTTAGTGTCATTCATTTTTTTGTCATTCACACTGATGTTAAAATTACATTTTCTGATTTGTGACATTACTTTTTATGTAATGCTAAAATACTGCTGATCACTTTCAGAGGTTGTAGTGATTCTTTCTTTTCCAAGAAAGAATGTGAAACAAATTGGTTATATAATTTTCATTTTTTAATATTTTAAAATATAATTTAAATAGATTTTTCACACTTTAAGCAATATCGTATCGCATATAGAATTTAACAAGGTATCGCGTATCGCATTTTTTTCAATATCGCACAGCCCTAGCGCGCACACACACACGGCTTCCCAGAGTCAAAAAACATTGGTTACGCAACACTGAAGCCCCTGTGTTAGCTCTCACCCCCCTAAATATGCCAAGCCAAACTCAACACACACACACACACACAAAGCAACCAATCCAAGTCAGGAAAGCATATGGGTGCAGGTTCTCACCCCATCAAAACAATTTCTTCCTTAGAACACACTGGGGCACACTCACTAAACAGTTGCGCAAAAACAATCTGACAGAAATGGTAATTCTGTCATCACTTACTTATCCTCATGTTGTTCCAAACCTGTATGACTTTCTATCTTCCGCGCAACACAAAGAAGATATTCTTAAAGATGTCTCAGTGTTATTAGACCCCATTGAAACGGTATGAACAAAAACAGTTTAAACATTCTTCAAAATACCTTTTGTCTTCTACATGAGAAGAATAAATCATACAGGATTGGAAATTACACAATTTTCTTTTTTGAGTGAACATCCATCCCCAACAATATCCTCATTTCTTTTTAGTGAAAGCAAAAAATCATTAAGAGCTAAAACTAAAAATAATTAAATAATAAATGTCTATAAATAAATTTTCACTTTAGTATCCGCCTAGGTTTATGCCATATTGAACACATTTGTGCTGGAACTGATTACATCAAAAATAATAACAATTAAACTGATCACCAAATCATTAATACTCCTAGACTGAACACAAATGATTCTCTGAATCTATCCTGAACAGAGGGTTAATAGTAAACACAAGCTAATGGAAAAATACTATCAATAGTAGTAGCATTGTCATCACTTGTGCAAGAAGTTTAAATGCATCATGGGAAACCCACACTGCTCTGCTAAAACTTGATATGCAATCATTAGGATACACACAAAAAAAACATTGCACATTGGGGGAAAAAACTGAAAAGTATAGGAAGGCCAAGAGGGTGGAAAACCCTTCACTCGCTGAAGGGCAAGTAAATAAACTAAAACAACGATGATACAGAGTCAGCCAGGCATGACACACAAACCCTTGGGCGAAGTGGAGAATGCACAGTAGTGGCAGCTCTGTAGACTTCTCACAGCGCTTGATTAATATCAAAGACAACTCTGAAGAGTTGACTCACACACTAAGTAAACTTCCATTTAGGAAAAAGACATCCTATAAGCTGCTTAGTGACTCACAAATGCATATATGTGCTGTTTTTTTTCCTTTTGTCGCATCGGGAACAAGTGTAGACATGCTAACCCTTTCTGCCTCCAATCACAAATATGTCCATTTATCAGCCTGAAGAGGCCCAGTCATCAGTGGGAGGGAATCTAAACCCCCTTAGCTCTCTCCTAAGATTTCAGAACGGGAATTTCCACCAAAGACTCAAACTACACAGATAAATGGGGGCTGATTTTATAAATAATAACATATGCATATTACCTATTAAATGTTCTAGACAGGCATGATAACACAAAGACACTAAGAAATTTATAGCTCAAACATGCCAGTACTCAAGAACACAGCATTCAAGGAGCTCTTTTGATAACCATTCTTAAACAAACATTTGGTCTTACCTTCTCTGCTTGTGAGATTCCCTCTGGTCTCATCTGATTTCTGGAAGTTTATACTGGCGTAGGCTCTGAGCTCTTCTATACCTTCGACAGCTCCCAGCTCCACTGGCCGAGATTGGAACGCATTCCAGTCTGGAACATGCTGCTCTCCATTCTGCACCAGATCCAGATCGATGTAATTCAGGCTGTTCTGGTCATGGTTTGTTAATGTGGGAATTGGGCCTGAAGTGTTTTCCCTTCGTCCGTTGATTAATGTAGATGCAGGTGGAGCGGCCGAAGCAGCAGAGGCCTCACCGGGTCTTAACCATACATTCTCGAAAGAGGCGGAGCTGTGGCGCTTTACTTCCCCTGACTGACAGGTGGTCGACGTGTCAACTGACCCTCTGGTTGTAGTGGAAGCAAAAGTTTCTGAACTGTGTCGTCGTCGACCCTGTGGGTCAGCCCGGATTACTTTAGCCCCTTGGTTCCGCCCAGAAGTGGAGTTTACTCGTGTGAATGCACTAAGACCTGACAAAGGGCCGATCAGAGCCGGTCTTCCTGGAGCACCGCTTAATGCCATCACATCATGATTGGGTGATACAGAACAAGGAGGGGCATCATCTGCATCCGGCAAGGCCTCAGTCATCAGCATCATTTGAGTATCTGGAAAGCTAGTGCAGGATGATAACTGCATGCTGATGTAGTCACGGTCACATATGCTCTCACAGGGAAGTGGAGGGGAGGATACAGATTTTGATGGAGTCATTTTGGCATAGTCTGAACAGGAAGTGGAAATCTGCATTTCTGGGGACAAATGCTCAGCTGGCCTCGACCCCAACTGCATGTTCATGTACTCAGATGATGAAAGGTCTGATGGGGCCTCAGCATCACTTCCGGAAAACACAGGTGGGAACAGTGACGCCAAGCTCGCAGAAAACGCCTTGTCATTGAATTCAATGTTGACATACTCGCCAGGACTTTTGGGCTCTGTGGGGAAGGGACTCTCACGTGTTCGTGGAAGAGTACTTGCTTTGCTAGTGTCCAGTGACAGACGTGTTGGACGTATCAGCCTCCCGTTGCCCTCTGACCTTTTGGGTTTGACAGCAGACTGCTGCGAGTTGCCTTGACCACCCAAGCTGTCGCTGCTCGCTGAAGAAGAGGAAGAGTCGGCGTACGCCAATCGACTCGAGCCTAGTGATATCCGAAGAGGGCTCTGGTCCTGCTTCCTGTTGGCGTGTTTGAAGGAGCGGGGCAAAGAGAAGTAAGCATACATCGGCCTGGGAGGATCTTCTGCAAGGTTGAAAAAGCAGTCTGGAGGCGTGCTGGTCGTTGAACCACTAGCCGAGGACATGTTTATGTAGTCTCCACAAGATGACACTTTACCTTCCATGCTCTCTACAGAGAGCTTAGGGTTGACGCCATTAGTCCAGATCTTGCCATAGTTTGTTGTGCCATCTGGAGAACAGCTGCCACTTGGTGACATCATCATGTAACCATTGGAGTCAACATGCGAGTGTTGCCGGGGGTTGATAATTTGCTGTGGTGCAGACACACTTTTTGGACTCATGGGCATGTAGTCACCGCTTTTTGCCGTTGGGGTCGCAGGCGCAACTCCTGGCAGCATGGGCATGTAACCATCATCTTTGTGATCTGGTCTACTGTGGTCTTTAGCTTGTGAAGTGTCTATACCTTCCTCTGGGTATGAATGTGTTGGCATGAAGGAGTGCCTGTATGTTGACGATGATGACGATGCAGAGCGGCTTCTTGGGTATGTGGGCATCATTACAGTATATTCCTCCAGCGAAGTAGCGGACGATTGTGAGGGAGTTTTTTGATGGCACGGAGTTGGCGGCGATGCACCAGAAGAATGCGTTCGCTTCCGGTGAAAACTGCAAATGCCCAATGAAAGTCTGCCACTGCTGTACCTCTCTGTATTCATTGAGCAATACTGCCATCTGCAGGCAAAATACGTTTCATCACATGAAAACAGCTAACGATGCGTTTATCTTTGTGTCTTGTATTTTGTTCATGCAATGCAATGTAATTGACTTTCTTGTATAAATTTGTGTTTTCATTAGCCTACTGCTTGAGTACAGCTGTAATAACAGAAAATTAAACGTAATAGTCGATTTCTGTGAATACAGTACAAAATAGTGTTTATTGTTTTATACGTAGCCTAAGCTAAAACATTATCTTGATCATTTTCCTTGCCATGCATAGCTTTGGAATAGGCCGTTGGTGTGTTAAAATAGCTATACGCTACATTCTAGGTTAATTTTATGTTAAATAATAGTTTATCAAACATATCTTATAGGTTTCGCAAAAAAACATAGGATTTGATTGGTCTCTTATGCATTAGTCACAGGGCACGAACGTGCACCGTATTCGTGGAATGAAGCAGTAAAACTTTCAACTCAGACAGTTGAGTTCACTTCTAGAAAAAACTACAAACGTCAGGAGCGATGAGGTCACGCGACCAGAAGCCCTCGTTGCATCACTTCCGTGTTTACCACCTAGTGAAATATGGTGAAATGAGAGTAAAATCTGACATGTCCTACTGTTGCTAGCTAATATTAGGACTCGGGAACGCTCCTTTTACTCACAACACAACCTCCAAACCAAGCGTAGGAACCTCAAGCCTTCCAAAACAGGAGCTGTCACTCAGATATTATGGTAAGTGATTTGATCCTACACAGTAATTGTTTATGTAGTCGAGTACATTTACACTTCAGTGTAATAATAGAGCTTTTATGGCATATAGAGTGCATGCATGACGGTTTAGTACGGATAATCGATTATTTATTTCAAGAAAGCGATAGATTTCTCGTTTTGATAATATTTTTCTTAAAGGTTCTTGTGTGTGTACCACCATCCATGCATGATAGTTTTATTACCAAATGAAACAAAACAATTATTGTTATGATATAATACCCAATTTTGACAGTTATGAATTTACATGAAATACACAACTATTTAATTATCGTATGAATAAAAAAAGAACGGATTACGTCTGTGTGCGTTAGCTTTGATGCTAACTATATGCCAGTATATTTGTCGACAAATTGCAAATACAGTAGAGCCTACTTTTAAAATTCAATTGGAAATAGACATTAAAATACCATTTTAATGACTCATCCTGCACTACAGTTTTGGTCCAATCAGATGCTCTCAAGAATGGAAATGCCCCTCCACCAATACTACCTGCAATTGACTAGCCAGACGCCAAATAATCATGCTTAATGATTTTACATGCTCTGTAGACAGATGTGTATGAATTGCAACTGGAATAATTATAAACTGATTCTAAAATATTTACGCGTAAGCAGCGGTCTGTCAAGAAATATAAACACATTTCTGTCAGGACCACTATCGTCAAAGATGATTGACAATTAGCATACAGTTTGGATTGGCGGTATGGTTCTGTTCTGGGCAAGAACTCCCTGCGCCTCCATGCAGCCTAGCATGGTTAGGGAGAGCAGCAATAACCCCCCAGGGTAAACAGAACAGAACCAACATAAATGTATTGCAGATATCGTTAAAGTTCAATAATGTTATGTACACATTTTAGAATTAGTCTGATTCAAAGGAGAAGCAGAAGGCTGAATCCTGACTGACAGAGGAGGAGTTGGGGATGGAGGAGGGTAATTAGCTATTGAGCAATGCGAAAACTGCTGATAATACAGCGGGACCTTATATATGAATACTTAGATAGTTGTCATAGCCCCATAGGTTGATGGGGATCAGCTGAGAGTCAGCTGATGCGAGCTTGACTAATGTGACCTGCCAGAACTAACGCTACGCTTGATTTTTATACAGATAAAACACTGGTTCTCTGTGTTTGAGGATGTGGTTGTGTATTTTAGATGCTAATAATCCACTATATGTGTTTCAGATGCGTAACAGACAGAGGGGATCTAATCTTGGCCTGCTCCTGCTGGCCTCTCAGGTTTTCCAGCTGGGAATCGACAACATCCCACCTGTCACTCTTGCAACGCTGGGCCTGAACGTCTATTTGTTCCTGTTTCCTGCCAAACCCCTCCTACGGGTACATGTTATTATAACTTCAACACTAAAAATGGGTCACATCTGCCAGTAGTGAGTCAATGAAGAAAATTTGCCTGCCATTAAACTGTATTTTGCAATATTTTATTAGAAAATATATCGAAAAAGTGATAAGTTGCACATGTTACAATAAAGGCAAGTTGTAGACAGTACTTAAGGTTTTTTTTTTTGGTATTGCAGACGTGTTTGAGTGTTCGAGAGGCTTACTGGTACAGAGACTGGAGTCGTCTGCTGCTGTCGCCGTTTCACCATGCTGATGACATGCACTTGTACTTCAACATGGCCTCGCTCCTTTGGAAGGGCATCAAACTGGAAAGGAAACTGGGAGGCGCCTGGTTTGCGTACCTGCTCTCTGTCTTCTCTCTGCTCACCGGATTGGTCTACCTGCTCCTGGAGACGGGACTGACACACATGACAGAAGACTCCTCATATAGTTTACAGTGTGCAGTGGGCTTCTCAGGTGTGTTAAATCGGGATGGATTGCACATGCTTTGAATTAAATGTTTTCTATTTTATTATGTTTGAATGTCATTTATTCCTGTGATAGCAAAGCTGAATTTTCAGCAGCCATTACTCCAGTTTTCATTGTCACGTGATTACTTTGATATGATCAAAATGTTGATTCTTTGATGAAAGAACAGCTTTTATTTGAAATAGGCATTTTTGTAACATTATAAATGTCTTTACTGTCACTTTTGATCCATTTAATATATCCTTTCTCAATAAAAAAATATTTCTTTAAAAAATCTTACTTTTAAACGGTAGTGTAGATGTATCTTTTACTAAAACATTAATACTGTACAGTACATGCAGTTGGTGGAAAGAATAAATACTTTGATATGATCAAAATGTTGATTCTTTGATGAAAGAACAGCTTTTATTTGAAATAGGCATTTTTGTAACATTATAAATGTCTTTACTGTAACTTTTGATCCATTTAATATATCCTTTCTCAATAAAAAAAATATTTCTTTAAAAAAATCTTACTTTTAAACGGTAGTGTAGATGTATCTTTTACTAAAACATTAATACTGTACAGTACATGCAGTTGGTGGAAAGAATAAAAAGGAGTAGACAACAGAAATCAATTGATTCATATGTGTCATTTTTATATTTTTCTACTAAGAAATAAGCTGTTTGTGATTCGTTTCAGGTGTTCTGTTTGGGCTGAAGGTGGTGAATAATCATTATCATCCAGGAGGGGCCACATACATCATGGGGCTGCCTGTAGCCAATCGCTACGCCTGCTGGGTAGAGTTGGTCCTCATCCATATCATGAACCCTGGGTAGGCATGAAACATGTTTCAAAGATGCTAGAGTAAAGGTTTTTTTTATAAGCATGTTTTGATTTGTATCTGAATCACAGCTTGTATTAGCACACATTCACACACATGTCTCTGCAGGACATCATTTGTCGGACACCTGGCTGGGATCGTGGTCGGTCTGCTCTACACAACTGGCCCACTAAAGAGCCTGATGAAAACCTGTGCAGGTAACCCAACATTTTTTTTTTTAAGTGTGTTTGACATCTTCACTGTTACTATGTGTATACACTACCATTCAATAGTTTCAGTTCAGCATATTTTTTTAAGGAAATTAATGCTTTTATTCAGCATGGATGCATTAAATTGATCAAAAGTAACAGTAACGATATTTATGTTACAAAATATTTTTATTTGAAATAAATGTTCTTTTGAACTTTCTGAGTCACAGTGTTCACAAAAACATTAACTGTTTTCAACATTGATAGTAATAAGAAATGTTTCTTGAGCAGCAAATCAGCATTTTAAAATAATTTCTGAAGGATCATGTGACACTGAAGACTGAAGTAGTTATGCTGAAAATTCAGCTTTGCATCACAAGAATAAATTACTTTTTCAAATTAAAATAGGAGCATAAGAGATTTTAAAAAACATAAAAAATCTTACCACAAACTTTTAATTCAGCAATTAATGCATCCAGCCACATAAACAGCCATGACTGTGTCATTTCAGGCTTTGTGACATCTAATGGGCAATATGGAGGGCAACAAACATACTACAATTCATCAGGTAAAAGCTCTTTTGGTTTTATAGGGAAATACTGATTGATTTATAAAGACTGCAATCTGATTTGAATCACTATCATCCTAGAAATGGCTCTGATTTTGAGAACCAATAAAGATTAAATGATTTAGGGATTGCTAACTAGACCATTGTAGCATCGCTCTGTTGACATCCTCAGGATCCATTATTTGTATGTCTGTGTTTACAGGATACAGTGGATATGGCACGCCGTATCCACCAAACTCTGGCGCCCCCTACAGGCAGCAGTATGACACACGCACGCCCTCTGCACCGCCCCAGCATCCCTATACAGCAGGTCTGTCAGAAGATGAGCAGTATGAGACAGCTGTCAGGGCCAGCCTGAATGACAGAGGTCAGGTGGTCAAAATGACCAGTTGATACTTTTAAAAATGCTTTGTCATAAACCACTTTGTAAAGAAAAGTATTCTATTTTTGTTTTAATTTGTTATACAGGTGTATCTAAAAAAAATCGTAAAAAAAAAAATATATATATTTTTTGTAACTTATTTTAACTTAAGTTTTTTTAAAATTTTGATGATTAGAGCTTACAGCTCATGAAAGTCAAAAAGCCAGTATCTCAAAATATTAGAATATTTACATTTGAGTTTCATTAAATGACAATCCCTACAGAACAAAAAATTCCGGGTATCTCTTGTTCTTTGAAACCACAATAATGGGGGAAGACTGCTTACTTGGCAATGCTCCAGAAGACGATCATTGACACCCTCCACAAAGAGGGTAAGTCACAACAAAAAATTCCGGGTATCTCTTGTTCTTTGAAACCACAATAATGGGGGAAGACTGCTTACTTGGCAATGCTCCAGAAGACGATCATTGACACCCTCCACAAAGAGGGTAAGTCACAGAAGGTCATTACTGAAAGGTTTGGCTGTTCACAGAGTGCTGTATCAAAGCATATTAAATGAAAAGTTGACTGGAAGGAAGTAATTGGGTAGGAAAAGGTGCACAAGCAACAGGGATGACCGCAGGCTTGAGAATACTGTCAAACAAAGCTGATCACTTGGGAGAGCTTCACAAGGAGTGGACTGAAGCTGGAGTCAGTGCATCAAGAGTCACCACGCTCAGACGTCTTCAGGAAAAGGGCTACCAAGCCACTTCTGAAACAGAAACAATGTCAGAAGCATCTTACCTGGGCTAAGGAGAAAAAGAACTGGACTGTTGCTCAGTGCTCCAAAGTCCTCTTTTCAGATAAAAGTAAATTTTGCATTTCATTTGGAAATCAAGGTCTGGAATCTGGAGGAAGACTGGAGAGTCTTTCGGACACTTCACACTGGACTTCAAACAGCTTGGATTCTGTGCGAATCCAAGCTGTTTGAAGTCCAGTGTGAAGTTTCCGAAGCCAGTGATGATTTGGGGTGCTGTGATGTCTGTTGGTGTTGGTCCATTGTGTTTTATCAAGTCCAAAGTCAATGCAGCTGTCTACCAGGAGATTTTGGAGCACTTTATGCTTCCATCTGCTGACAAGCTTTATGGAGATTCTGATTTCCTTTTCCAGCAGGACTTTAGCACCTGCCCACAGTGCCTGCTGACCATGATATTACTGTGCTTGATTGGCCAGCCAACACGCCTGACCTGAACCCCATATGGAATCTATGGGATATTTTCAAGAGAAAGA